GATCCAACATGGGAAGCGGGATACACAGCAGACTCATAGAATGGCAGATGTCCTGAACAGCACTCTGGCCTCAGAATCAGCCCTTAAGGCATTCAGATATGGCTGAAGAGCCCATGAGAGTATTTTAGGCATGGAAAGCCAAGACACCCTGGGGAAAAAAAAAAAAAGACCTAAATGAAAGATCTCTGTGAGTGAGATCCCAGTGGAAAGAACGGGTCATCAAAGAAGGAGGTACCTTTCTTTGAAGGGAGGAGAGAACTTCCACTTTGACTGTGACCCTGTCAGAATAAGATCAAAGTCGGCAAACTTAAAAGGCTTCCATAGCCTTGGCAACTCATGAATAGAGCCTAGGGAGATTACTGATGCCATAAACAAGAGTGTCAAATTGTTAAGTCAACAACAGGAGTCACTGTGTACTTACTTCTCATGTGGGATCTGTCCTTAATGTGTTGTCCAATGTGAAGTAATGCTATAACAACTAGTACTGAAACAGTATTTTACACTTTGTGTTTCTGTGTGGGTGCAAACTGATGAAATCTTTACTTAATATATACTAAATCGATCTTCTGTATATAAGGAGAATTGAAAATGAATCTTGATGTGAATGGAATGGGAGAGGGAGCGGGAGATGGGAGGGGTGAGAGTGGGAGGGAAATTATGGGGGGGGAAGCCATTGTAATCCATAAACTGTACTTTGGAAATTTATATTTACTAAATAAAAAAAATTTTAAAAAAGAAAAATTACATTATATGAATTTGTAATTAAATAAAACACAAATATTAAAAAAAATCTAGTGTGTATTTACTTCAAAGAGAGACATTACCTTATATAACTGCAATGCAACTGGTAAAATCAGGAAGTCTGATATTTAATTAAATTTAAGCTATGCATTCTTGGCAGTTGTAAAAGAACTGACCATGTGTTGTTACATCCTATCATAGATTAATAATTTGAATTTAACTCATTTCCAATGGTAGTATTCAGACCACAGATTAAGGTAGTGGGGCCAGCCCTATGGCGTAGCGGGTAAAGCCACTGCCTGCAGTGCTGGCATCCCATATGGGCACTGGTTCGAGTCCTGGCTGCTCCACTTCTGATCCAGCTCTCAGCTATGTCCTGGGAACACAGCAGGAGATGGCCCAAATCACTGGGCCCCTATATTCGCATAGGAAGACCCAGAGGAATCTCCAGGCTCCTGGCTTCGGATGGGTGCAGCTCTGACTGTTGTGGCCAATTAGGGAGTGAACTAGGGGATGGAAGACCTCTCTCTTTCTCTCTACTTCTCCTTCTCTCTCTGACTTTCAAATAAATAAATAAATCTTTAAAAAAAAAAGATTAAGGTAGTATCTTTCAGACTTCTTTGTGAAGTTCCTTTTTATGTTTATAGTTATTTTGTGAGCAGATAGTTTCAAAATACTACCTTGTTTCACATCAGAATTTCAATTTATTCATACCTCTGTAGATTCACGGTTTTCTATTTAATTCCACGGGTTAAAAGTCTATTCTTATTACTCTGATGCTCATAAGTGTTACACATTTGCACTGTTCTAAGTGGCTTCTGTATCCTTTGTAATGTTCCTTTCTTTATTTGGGTAATCTCTTGTTTTCTGGTGAGATATCCCATCTCATTATGTTTTCTCTGCCCCAGCCTAACAATCAGTCATTCTTTTCCTAAAAGTCTAGGTTCTCTTCAGAGAATAATGGTATTTGAAAGTGAAGATCTAGGTACTAATGTGTAATTGTTGGTGTGCATTAATAATACATATATTTATATCTTTATTTCTTTATAAGTGTGTTGAAATAAGTTCACAGTTAAACTTTCAGTTCTAATTCTAGGAGGTTGATTTTTGTTCTATCCTTTTCCATATTTATAACTTCCTTCAATAGCAATGAGGAACCTGATTCCTACTCTCCATATATTGCAGGTCGTCTCATCATCTTCCCAGGGAAATGAATGCCTTCCTTACTCTGTGAGACTCCAACATCCTATGCCGAACAGAAATGTGTTCTCCTTACCCTGTTTGGTGCTTAACCACCCAATCTGTGCCCCTCACTGTAGTCCATCTACCCTGTCATGCCTATGTTACTCATTTTATATAATAATTTTGGGAATGAGTTGATTAGATCCTGGTATGGGCTGGCACCATGTCACAGTAGGGTTAATCCTCCACCTGTGGCGCCAGCATCCCATAGGGGCAGTCCCAGCTGCTCCTCTGCCAATCCAGCTCTCTGCTGTGGCCTGGGAAAGCACCTGCATCCACATGGGAGACCAGGAAGAAGCTCCTGGCTCCTGGCTTCAGATCAGCGCAGCTCCAGCCGTTGCGGCCATTTGGGGAGTGAACCAACGGAAGGAAGACCTTTCTCTCTGTCTCTCTCTCTCACTGTCTATAACTCTACCTGTCAAATAAATAAATAAAAATCTTTAAAAAAAATTACCATCCTGGTGTATGCTTTAGTAAATTTTAGCAGATGTATAGATATTTGCAAATACTTTCACGTTCAGGATACTGAACAGTCCAATCGCCCTAAAAATGCCTTTCTTTTATCTCTTTGAAGTCACCCTACTTCTAGCCCATAAACCTTGGAAACCATGATGTAGTCTTTATCTCTATAGGTTTGTCTTTTCAACAATATAAATTGAATCATATAATCTTAAAAACAGATTTATTGAGACATAATTTGTGGACATTTATCCATTTACAGTATATGATATATATATATACTTTATGCAATCACTGGTTTTATCTTAAACAGAAACTTTTTAGTTGCTCTCCTGTCCTTTTCCTCTACATCCCTTGCCAGCCAAACAACCACGAATATACTTTCTGTCTCAGAGTTCCCTGTTAATGGACATTCATATACGTGGAACTGTATGTAGTCTTTGGTGACTTGCTTTCACTTAATGTGTCAGTGTTTCAACCATGTTCTAGCATGTAATACTTAGTCTGACACTACATTGCATGGCTATTATCACATTTGTGTATTCATTTGTAAGTTGGTGGACGTTTAGGGTATTTCCTCCTGTAGAGTATGCTGAATAATGCTGTTATAAACATTTGTGTGCAAAAAAAAAAGATGCTTTAGAAGCTAGGTAAGACATGAAGGGAAGTCTTTACAGCTATATGAGTGATAACAGACTTTATCCAGAGTATGTAGACGTATTGGGATAGGTAAGAGCAGGAGAATTTAAAGAAAGGGATCATAAAATGCACCAGGAAGATAGACATTTTCCTTATCTTTACTGTGGTGATGATTTCATGAGTATTCAGCTGCCCAAATTCATCAAATGCATATAACTCTCTATATCAGTTATATTCCGATAATACTTTTTTAAGTCATGTAAGAAATTTTATGTACAATAATGTAAAATCATCTCTTAAGTAAATCACCTTTCAGTGAAATTCATTAAGTTATAGCAAAATGAACTTGTTCTTAGTATATGCCCTTCTTAGAATAAAGGAAATATAAAGTACAGAATACTGAATTAATGAATTTAGATTTAGGGATATTTAACATTAATCCTTGATGATGCAGTAATAAAATATCTAGAGGGGCATGACACTGTGGAATAGCAGGTTAAGTGCCAGTTTGATTCCTGGCTGCTCCACTTCTGATCCAGCTCCCTGCTAAAATGCCTGGGAAAGCAGCAGAAAATGGACCAAGTGCTTGGGCCCCCTTCACCCATGCAGGAGACCCAGATGAAGCTCCTGGCTCCTGGCTTAGGTCTGGCCCAGCCACACTGTTGCAGCCATTTGGGGAGTGACCCGGTGGATGGAAGATCTCTCTGTCACTCCCTCTCTCTCTCTCTCTCTCTCTCTCTCTCTCTCTGTGTGTGTGTGTGTGTGTGTGTAACTCTGCCTTTCAAATAAAATAAATAAATATTCAAGATAGATAGATAGATAGATAAAAAAATTATTGCAGATAGCTTCCTTTCAGGAGAACTGGAAGAGAGGAGCCAGTAGGCTCCAAGCACAAAGACTACATAAGAAAATGAACAGGCCAATGGCCTGGTCTGACAGGATTATGCTGTGTGTAAGTGTTGCAGTATTGTACTGTTCCCCATAAAGAATGTATTAGCATTCCATGTCAACTCCAAATTTCAAAAATAAAGTAAATTTTAAAGCCAAAAAGAATCATTTATCTTCCAATTCTGCTTGGAGGATTTGTTTGTCTATATACTGGCAATGACTTTATTTGAAATCTTAAAATACATTTAAACCAGTTTTTTTTTTTTCAATGTTGGCCTAAACAACTCTTACAGTAATTACTTGATGACTTTGGAAAGATGCATCCAGAAAGGAGGGTGTTTAGCCTTTCTCCACCCCGACACACTGGAGAGAGAATGTGCTCTATGGACAGGAGCTGCCCACAGCAGTGGCTGTTGGGGACAGAACTGAAAGCCCCCCTGGGGCACAGCAGAAAGTTTACAGACGCAAAGCAGCAGGGCTCATCCTGGTGTACACTCCATCAAAGGATCTCAGTGGTGCAGAGGACAGCCAGCCCAGACTACCGAGGGTCCCTAACTAAGGGAAGCAGAAAAGCTGCATTTGTTAGATACAGGTTTGAAGATCAACCCAACTCTGAAAGTTGGTTAGGTCACCCTCATACAGCCATATATACACACATATATACACTCTACTCAGTAATGTAGCACTGGTTTTAAAAATAGCAAATCATTTGCCTGGCTCCGTGTTTATGAAAACATGCAGTAGTCAAGTTCCTAAATAAAAAATCTGTGTTTGTTATTTTTCAATGTAATCTAATTTTTAAAATGGAATACTCAACCTAACTATTTGTCTAGTTATAACTCACTAAGAAACCAATCAGCAAAGAAAAAGTTGCTCATTAACATGTCACAAATAAATTGAGATGTTAGTGCCACCCTGTGGTTAACCTCACACCTTATAAAAATGTATACAAATGAGAGGGCTACATTGATTGGTTTTTGCCATCAGCATTAAAAATAAATTCAGTGTTTCACTTGCAAATATTCTTCTAGAGCCCTTAATACATCAAGACTTCTTTTTATTTTATTTTATTTTTATTTTTTGACAGGCAGAGTGGACAGTGAGAGAGAGAGACAGAGAGAAAGGTCTTCCTTTGCCTTTGGTTCACCCTCCAATGGCCGCCGCGGCTGGCGCGCTGCGGCCAGCGCACCGCGCTGATCCGATGGCAGGAGCCAGGTGCTTCTCCTGGTCTCCCATGGGGTGCAGGGTCCAAGCACTTGGGCCATCCTCCACTGCACTCCCTGGCCACAGCAGAGAGCCGGCCTGGAAGAGGGGCAACTGGGACAGAATCCGGCACCCCGACCGGGACTAGAACCCGGTGTGCTGAAGCTGCAAGGCGGAGGATTAGTCTAGTGAGCCGCAGCGCTGGCTCAAGACTTCTAAAAAGCAAGTTTGATGTCTTTTGTATTCAGTATCCCCAATAACTATGCATGGCAAGAGCTAGATAAAAGTTTACTGTACTGAAATACACTCATGATACATTTCTACTTAAAATCAGAAGGATTTGGCTCCAAGAATTCGTTCAAGACTAGACACAAAGGTTTGACTAAAAGGTTATTCACTAGCTATAGTAGTTTATGTAAAGTAGCAAAAAAGAAAATGCAACCAACATACAGTCCTACATGCAATAATATTTTGGCTAGATCATGTGTACTGTATACTGCTATAATATACTGCCAGTAAATATGGTATTGTGAAAAACATTTAATAATGTTGTTGTTAAAGTACATTATTAAATATGAAAATCATATCAATAGGCAGTATGCACAGTATATTCTCATTCTTTGAGTTTTTTTTGTATGTTAAGCTATTCATGTTCATAACCTTTATTGGGGTGGATACCATGAGGAGATGTGCTAAGTCCCTCCTCACCCACAACCATGTGAATTTGATTCATATGTGGAGACTAATGGTGACGCCACACATCCAGCAACTGGACAGAAAAGCTGTATGACACACACAGGGCGTTGGCTGGGGAGAACAGGGAAGGTCCCCAAGAATGTCAGAACACAGCCTGAGAGAGTGGAGAAGTGAGACCAGCGTGGATTTATTGCAATTAAGAAATGGCACTGGGGTGAGGACTCCCACATGTAGGCCAAGGTTTCTCTGTTTTGGAGGGAGGAGTATGTCTTTCTTAGCAGCTTGTCCAAATGCAGAGAGAGGGAAAGGATGACGGGAGGGGCTCGGAAGCTGTCAGCAAACATCAGAAATGGAGTCAATTTTTCATTACACTCATATAATAATGATTAAAATCTAAAATATCCACTAAAGATGGCTAAAAGGATATATATCAAAATGTTTATTGGAGGAGCCAGTGCTGTGGCACAGCAGGTTAAAGCCTTGGCCTGCACAGCCAGCATCCGGTTCAAGTCCTGGCTGTTCTACTTCCGATCCAGCTCTCTGCTATGGCCTGGGAAAGCAGTGGAAGATGGTCCAAGTCCTTGGGCCCCTGCACCCATGTCGGGGGCCTGGAAGAAGCTCCTGGCTCCTGGCTCCTGGCTTCAGATCAGCTCAGCTCTGGCCATTGTGGCCATTTGAGGAATGAACCAGTTAATGGAAGACCTCTCTCTCTCTCTCTCTCTCTCTGGCTCTCTCTCCCTCTGTAATTCTGTCTTTCAAATAAATAAAATAAATTAAAAAAAATGTTTATTATAGCAGTGTGGAGTAGGATAATTATTGTGTTTCTTTTCTTCTTGCTGATTAACAATACTTTTAAAAATGAACCTACATTACTTTTATAAAGACACTGAAAATTATGTTTTATTTATCAAACGAAACTAAGCAAATCATGAAAATTAGATGAAAACCCAGAAACAAAAGAACAAGAATGATTTCTTACCAAAAACATTTAACATATTAAGAAAATGAAGAGTCCCAGGACTGGTAAGGCACGCTTGCATAAACATAATTATATTTCTGGTTACAGGAAGTATAAATTGGCACAAGCCTCTACAAGGCAATTAGGTAAAATGTACATAAACTTTGACATACTTTATTTCTAGAAGCTAACCTAGTAAAATAATTTTATATACAGAAAAACAAACTCATCTACTTGTTCAAGAGTTTCTTCAAAGCCTGCTGTGTGTTAGGCCTGAGGGCCCAGCGGTGGACAGTCCCAGTCTGCATGCACCTGTTGCTGTGAACTGACACTGCGACCCGGCATCCAGTGAGAAGTGGTTCCAAGCATGGGCCTAGAGCATCAAAGAAAACTTGAAAAGCAAAAAGAGAAATGAAAGTACTCACTAAACCATATCAACCATGGCAACTGATATAAATTTTCCCCTTCTCTCTCCCTGTGCACATGACTTTAATGTCTATTCTTTCAACATATTTTAATCAGACTGATGGACTTTCGTCACCATGTGTTTGTTTATTATGCACCTGAAACTAAGGCATATACCTTTCCCATGATTGCCACAAACATACAATTAATGATGGCATATTATGTAAGAGTGAAGAGTTTGCTTAACCATTTCCTAATTGCTAGATATTTTAATATGTTTCTTTTTTTCTTAGTATTTTTTTTTTTAAATATAACAAGCCAGGTGCTAGTTTCCAAGCCTGGAAATGACTTCTCTCTGACCTTCCCTGTCCCCTCTACTGTCTAATCCTGCCTTCCTGGAAAGTTCTTTAATTAATACACTGTTCCCAGATCCTTCCCTTGTGCAAGTCACTCGCTCTCAATCATCCTTCAGTCATATCCGCCTCGTGGCTGACTTTAGCCCTTCAAAGAATGTAGTCAGAATAATCTCTTCAGAAATCACTCCCAATCACATCATGTCCTGGTTTTACTTTTATTATTTTTATTTATTTTGTGTATTTGAGAGAGAGCTTTCCCATCTGCTGGTTCACTCTCCTAAATGCCAGCCACAGCCAGGGCTGGACCAGGCCAACGCCCGGAGCCAGGAACTCAATCCAGGCTTCTTGTTTAGTTGGCCAGGATCCAAGTACTTGAGTCACCATCTGCCAACTCCCAGTGTGCTCAAAAAGGGGAAGCTGGAGTCAGGAGTCAGACTGGATCCTAAACACAGGCACCGTGATGGGGGGTAGGGGATATGCAGGCTTAGCCCCAACAAACACCTGCTCCGGTTTTACTTTGTTTAGTGGTTTTTCATTTGTGTTCAATGCTAACAATGACCTCCAGAGTCCTCTACCCTCTGACTCATGCCTGTCTCTCCAGGGTCAGCTCTCACCGTCCTTCCAGCTCTTTCTCTGCCTCTCGTTATCCCCTGCTTCTCAGCTCCTGTATCTCTCCAGTGAGTGCCTCCAGGGCCTGGAATGTGCAATGCAGGGGTAGGGAGTGGGGAGGCTCCTTACCAAGAACATGGGGCCGGCACCATGGCTCACTTGGTTAATCCTCCACCTTGTGGCGCTGACATCCCATACAGGTGCCAGGTTCTAGTCCCGGTTGCTCCTCTTCCAGTCCAGCTCTCTGCTGTGGCCTGGCGCAGCGCCGTGGCGGCCATTTGGGGAGTGAACCAACGGTAAAGGAAGACCTTTCTCTCTGTCTCTCTCTCACTGTCTATAACTCTACCTGTTAAAAAAAAAAAAAAAAGAACTTTTGTTTTGCTTTTTTTTTTTCCTAAAACAGATTATACTCAGCATGAAGTTGTCAATTTAAAAGTAGCTTTCGCAGAAGGAGCTTCCTCATCGCCTTCAGAACAAGTTAGGGACACAGCTTTAAGCTTATTAGATTCCCTGAATATTCCTTTTCGTGGTAGTCATCAATTCTTTTAACAATGAACATATTTGTAATGCCAAGTAGACACTATGCTAAGTGTTTTGTTGGCTTTCTTTCACTTTATCCTCACAATAACCTACATGGATGCAAAGAGGAGGATGCAGAACCCCAGAAATTATGTAGCGTAAGGTCACACAGTGAAGAGGAGATGGTGATCAATACTGGGAGCCGATTCAATATGCATCCAATGCAGTTTGCTCAAAATATTGCTAACTACGTCTAAAACCAAGATTACCAAACGTGTGAGGCAGAAGAGAAGCAGCAGCAGTTCCAGTAGATGCTTGGCCCTAAGGAGACAAACCGATTGTGAAAAGAAGGAAGCCGGAGTCTGCTGTGGGAGCAGCTGGCCCCCGAGGGATGGGGACTCCTATAGATGAGTCTGGCTGTGGAGGCAGCCTCCCAGGGGCGAGCGCAGACTTGAATCACAGAACACAGCTTCCAAGAGCAACCTCGTGCGGGGGTGGTGACTAAACGGGTGCACGGGGAGATCCAAGAAGCTTGGAAGATGGGTCTTCTGTTGGCGAAACACAAGTCTCATCATTCTCTCTCCATGCGTAGGGAAGAGGCTCCAACACCTTCAGTGCCTGGGTTGGTGTGAGAATATTTTACTGCGAGAACCTCGAGCCACTAACATATTAAACAGAGGCACACAAAGAGTTGGGAATTTCACCCAGAAAGGGTTAATACACCTAATTTTAGGAAAAAATAGTATTTATTTAAAGATTCAACATAGGCAGAACAGTCCCCAAACATACAGATGGATCCTCAAACTATAAGGATAATTCTAAAAACCTTATGATTCTAATAACTTCCACATTATTAAGTATAAAGTCTGGAAATAGTGAATATAAAGGTGCAGAAACTGTTAACAGCCATCACGTTTCAGTTTATAAGCCAATTCTACGTTGTCATTGCTGAATTATTTGATTAACACCAAAACCAAAAATGCTCTATCATTTTGCACATGGAGCATCGCCCTTCTAAAGACCCAATTGGAAATTCTTGAGTGACTTTCTGGACCCTAGACATATTAAATCTCAAACAGGAAAGCAATTTATTCTGTTTTAATGTTCTAAACTGTGTAAATTGGCATCTGAAACTGTATTGTGCAGTAGCCCTGTGCATTAGTAAGTAAAACAGAAAGGATGAGCTCAAGGTGATAAACGCGTCCCTCCCATGACCTCAGCAAGAATGAGGATCCCACCGCTGTAGCACCGTCTATGCAGGTCCCACCTGCATAATGTGGGCACCAGGGTCCCAAGGTCCTGTTTATTGGACTCGCTCTCTGGGAAGCAGGATGTCATCATTCATTGTTTTTAACCCAGGGAACCTTAAAACTTTAGACTGAAACAAACAAAATTGCCAACATAGCACTCTGTACAATGTCTCAAGTTCATGTCAGTACTTGCAGACATAAAAGGATACGGGTGAAAACATTCCATGTATGCTTTAGATCAGCGTTTCCCCCAGAAAGGGAAGTGTTCTTTCACACTATCGTCACTTGATAATTCTAGTGTATCTGGGCGTACAATTCTAGAATGACAGCCGTTTCGCTTCCTGGAAACTCTTCTCCCAGTGAGAATGCTGTGAGTCTGACAGTCCATCTTTAAACATTACAGGTCTTTTCCCTTCCCTTTGGAAGTTCTTATAACCTTGTTTCCTGTTTTTTCTTTTTTTTTCGGTTTTTGTTTCTTTTTGTCTTTCTTCTTATTTTTGCTTTGTTTCGTTTTCTTTTAAACAGTTGCCCTGGGATATATCTGGTGTGGATTTCTTTTTGTTTAATCTGCATAAGATTGATTTTCCTTCCTGACTCTTAGGATACCTATGATTAATGAAGCCTGAATATTTCTCTACCATTGTTTTTGGGTGTTGCCTCTCCTGTATTCCTTCACTTTTGTTTAAACATTTTTCAAAAATGCTTTTATAAATATACTTTATTTTATTTATTTATTTTATTCTTACGTCATTTATTTATTTATGTATCTGAGAGGCACACAGCGCTCCCATCACATCTACTGCTTCACTCCCCCAAACACCTGCAACAGCTGGCACTGGCCTGAGGCTGGAGCCAGGAGCCAGAAACTCAATCCAGGTCTCAATCAAGTAGTTGGCAGGAACCCAACCCCTTCAGTCATCACTGTTTTCTCCAAGGGACTGCATTAGCAAGATGCTCGAGTTAGGAGTCAGAGCAGGACTGAACCCAGGTACTCTCATATTGGACATCCTAACTGGTGTTTTAACTGCTATATCAAATCCTAGTTCCTCTCTTATTCTTTACTTTGAGGATTCTAATTAGATGGAGGCTTAGACATCATTTGTTGTGGCTTGAACAAGACTTGGCTTCCAATCACATGAAGATATTGAAGCCCCAGTGTCCTCTGTTAACGGCTGATGGGCTAAGGATGTAGGTGTGATCTGGCTATGGTGTCTGAGAGTGGATCGCTGAGGTTTGCTCTTGGAGGCTGGCGCCCCAAAGAGGGTTGGGCCTGGCTCCTCTCTCCATTCCCTGCCTCTCCAAGTGCTCCTTCCTCCTCTTTTGCTTTGCAGCTGTCAGCAGGCTTGCCCATTAGATGCCAGACCAATGAGGCTGCCCAGTCTTGAACGGAACCTCCAAAACTGTGAGCTGGAATCGACCGTCTTCCTTCCTGGTAGCTCTTCTCAGGTGTTTGTTGTAGTAACGAACAGCTGATGAACACTTAATTATATCCACAGATATCTAACTTCTCCTTCATTTTCCATCTCTGCCTATGGCTGCCTTCCGGGAAATTTTCTTAGAGCTATTTTCTAATACGTTAATCTTCCATTAATTATACTGACTCTGCTGTTCCATCCATCCCTTATGTTATCATTTTAATGATTCTATGTTTAATGAATAAGGGTTTATCTGATGTCTATTAAAGTCTAGGCCTTCTTCTTATTCAGGTTTTTGTTCCATTTTTTTGATTATATTTTTAACATTCTGCTTCATTCTGCATCAAAGCATTCTGATGTCTGAATCCCACACATGCTTCTGTGTGTTTCTACATTTTTGATTCTGAATTATGAGTCCTGGGGAGTCTCTCTCTGTGCAGCAGCCTCCTCTGCCACCCCTGGATTTGAAGCTGCCTCTGCCAGACGCCTAAAGGAGCCAGCAGCCATGAACCTGCCACATAAATTCCCAAGTAAATGGCTTGGACTGTGGTTTTTCTCAGTCATGAAAGTAGCATACATTGGCCGGCGCCGCGGCTCACTAGGCTAATCCTCCGCCTAGCGGCGCCGGCACACCGGGTTCTAGTCGGTTGGGGCGCCGGATTCTGTCCCGGTTGCCCCTCTTCCAGGCCAGCCCTCTGCTGTGGCCAAGGAGTGCAGTGGAGGATGGCCCAAGTGCTTGGGCCCTGAACCCCATGGGAGACCAGGAAAAGCACCTGGCTCCTGGCTCCTGCCATCGGATCAGCGCCGGCCGCAGCACGCCAGCCGCGGCGGCCATTGGAGGGTGAACCAACGGCAAAGGAAGACCTTTCTCTCTGTCTCTCTCTCTCACTGTCCACTCTGCCTGTCAGAAAAAAAAAAAATAAATAAATAAATAAAAAAGAAAGTAGCATACATTGGCCGATGCCATGGCTCACTAGGCTAATCCTCCGCCTAGCAGTGCCGGCACACAAGGTTCTAGTCCCAGTCGGGGTGCAGCATTCTGTCCCGGTTGCCCTTCTTCCAGGCCAGCTCTCTGCTGTGGCCAGGGAGTGCAGTGGAGGATGGCCCAAGTGCTTGGGCCCTGCACCCCATGGGAGACCAGGAGGATGCACCTGGCTCCTGGCTTCGGATCAACGCAGCAGCCACTGGAGGGTGAATCAACAGTAAAGGAAGACCTTTCTCTCTGTCTCTCTCTCTCACTGTCAACTCTGCCTGTCAGAAAAAAAAAAAATTAGCATACATTTGAATACTACACCTGTGGGAAGACAGGTTTGTAATCACAGGTCCTCACAGGAAACATTGTTTCCCCACAATGAATGCCAGGCTAAGAGAGACAAATTGCCTTGTGGTTTCTTCCTTCCTTCCTTTTTTGTTTCCTAGTAAAAGAAAAAAAAAAAAAAACAAGAATCATTTACATTTGTTATTTTGGAGAAATAAAATCCCTATTTATTGCAAGTTGTCAGCTTATCCCCATGGTTTCCAAGGCACTTGTAAATCTAGAATGAAGTGAACTCTCGCTTCCGGAAACACCTGTGAGCGTACAGCCTCAACCCTGGCCCTGCCTCACTGCCGTTCACAGTCGCTCACAATGTCACATGCCTCTGATTCACCCAACAGCCCTTCATTACACTCAGTGTTTGCTAGGCTCCAGTGAGGGGCAAGGATGCCGTGACGGGAGCCGGAGACACAGAGGCGGGGAGGGATGGCGTGTGGACATGGCATGCAGCTGGGAAACCAAATGAACAAAGAGTTGCATGAGTCTGGAGGGGCAGCAGGAGGCAGAAATCCCTCTAGAATCTGTAACCCTTGTAGTAGAGCAGAGAGGAAGATGTAGGCGCATGTGTGATGCAGTGTTAAATCGAATGGTGTTGAAAAATACGCATAGGCTTTCTATTAGAGAAGTCCAAAAGCTATTATCAGCCACTCAGTCCGCATCACTACAGTTCCTTTGGTCAGGCACCAACTACTTGAGAGCCATCTGTCGTTAGGCCCTGTTCTAGACCAGGCCGAGATAAGAGGGAACAGTCAGCCTGCAAGGAGCTCAGACTACAGTGGAGAGATGAAGACTTGTGACACATCTCTCTTCTAGCTGCCTTATCAGTTCCTTGGCACTGGCAGGGGATTCACTCACCTCTGAATCCCCAGCCTCCAGCACAACACCTGCACCGTGTAGTGCGCTGTAAATCAGCTGAAGGGTATGTTAAAACATTCTGAAGCAATGTGTTGAAGCTCATGTCCCCAAAGCACATGGAGCACCCACCCTTCCAGCCTCCTACAATAAAAAAAAGTCTTTACTCTCCAGGGTTCAAATGGAATTCTTCTTTCTGTCCTGCGACTGAGTGTCTCGGACAGACCGAGAGATACCACTGTTACAGCTACAGAGTCACCGAGTGTCTGCCTCCTGCACTCCGAGCCCATCGAGTGCTCTGGGAGGTTAAACCCTGGCGGCTCTTCAGGACGTCTTGGGCTACTGCTAGGAGTTTGAGCTGCCGCCCGGGCACCCTGAAAGAAAGAATTCTTTGATGCTTACACCTGGAAGCTGCACTTGTCCATCTGCACTTGAAAAGAAGGAAGGAAGGGAGAGAAGGAGGGAGGCAGGGAGAAAAGGAAGGAGGGAAGGGAAAGAGAAAGAACCTTACCCAGGAAGTACACTCCTGCTCTGAGTGGCGTCTGGAAACCCTCCCACCACTCTCCTTGTCTGTGATAGCTGATCCCCGCAGGTTCTTCTTCTATACATATTTTGGCAAAAAACTTAAACCTTTATTCATGGAAACCTTACTTTTTGAAATCAATTAACTAATTTTAGAGGCAGACAAAGAGAGATGGATAGACAGAGACAGACAGCACTCGCATCCGCTGGTTCACTCTCCAAATGTCCACAATGAAGCCAGGAGCTGGGAACTCAGTCTAAGTTTCAACTGCTTGAACCATCACCTGCCACCCCCCAGGGTATACAATATCAGAAAGCCTACTTTTTATTGATTTATGTGAAAACAATAAAAACATGTAATATATAAGAAGACTTCTATAAATTTCATTATCAAAATAAATTAATATGTATTGCAAAAGTTGTTCTGTTGTAGAAATTTTTAGACAAGTTTCACTTAGCTTTCAAAACAACACTCCTTAAGGTAGGTATTTCAACCTTTAAACTTGAACCAAAGGGCAGCTGAGAAAACCCCAGATGTTTCACATATAAACTCTGGACTCTGGGCTACTGCTCTATGCCCAAGTTTCTTCATCTGTAAAGTAGGAGACTGATACAATCTATCTCACAGGGTTGCGATAAACAGACACACACACAGGAGTACTTCAAAGAACAGCAGGAGCAAGCTTTGGCTCTGGGTTAAGACACTGTTTTGGATGCCCACAAGCAATATACAAGTGCGTGGTTCAAGTTCAACTCTGCTTCCGATGCACCTTCTGATAACGCACACCTGGCAAGGCAGGTACTTGGGCCCCTGCTACCCTCAAGGGAGACCCAAGTCCAGCTCCTGGATTTGGCCTGGCCCAGCCCTGGCTGTTGTGGTCATATGGGGCGTAAACCAGCAGATAGCAGCTCGCTCTCTCTCTCTCTCTCTCTCTGTGTATGATCTGTCTTTCAAAATTAAAAAACTGAACATATATAAATAAATGTTTTCAAAAAGCAAGTGTGGCGTATTCACATTCAACTAGGATTAAAAGGTAAGTATTTTGTCACACAAAAAAATGGAAATCCATGCATAGTTCTTTCTTTTTTAGAAAAAGATTTATTTTATTTATTTTAAAGAAACAGTTACAGAGAGAGGTAAGACAGAGAGAGAGGTCTTCCATCCGCTGGTTCACTCCCCAGCTGGCTGCAACAGCCGGAGCTGCGCCAATCTAAAGCCAGGAGCCAGGAGCTTCTTCCAGATCTCCCACACAGGTGCAGGGGCCCAAGGATTTGGACCATCTTCTACTACTTTCCCAGGCCACAGCAGAGAAGTGGATTGGAAGAGGAGCAGCTGGGACTAGAACCAGTGTACATATGAGATGCTGGCACTTCAGGCCAGGGCTTTAACCCAATGCGCCACAGCGCCGGCCCCAGTGCATGCAGAATTCTTTCATAATGCACATTTCTCATGAATTTTGAAGGGTCCCCGGTAGGTGCTGACCCTGACACAGATCATCTCTTCTTGACATTGCAAAATGATTTGCCACATTTGGAAGGTCCTATGGCAGCTTCTCTCTAGGAAATATTAATGTTTCCTATCAACTCAAAGTTAAGAATGGACACGATAAATACATTTCCTTGGGAGGCATGCGTTTTGTTGTGTTCCCTCTCATATCCCAAGACAAGTGTCCACAGATTCCTGATGCAAGCAGACTTTCCCAGGCTCGGTGTCAAAGACGTGAGAAGATTGCTACAGAGTGCAATTCCTGTTGCTCAAGATATGCCTGTTTACAATCTAAAATCTCCGAGGGCTATTGCCCTCTCCTTTAGGCAAAAGTAGGTCCATAGCATGAGTCTTTCTTATAAAAAAATTTTAACTTACTCAAGAGGCAGAGGAGCCGGGGTTGTGGTACAGCAAGTTAAGCCATTGCCTGCAATGCTAACATCCCATATGAGCTTATGAATTTGAGTCCTGGCTATTCTGCTTCCAACTCAGCTCCCTACTGAGTTGGGAAACAGTGGATGATGGCCCACATACCGGAGCCCCTGCTGCCCACGTGAGAGACCAGGATGGAGTTCAGGGCTCCTGACTTCAGCTGGGATGAGTCCCAGTTGTTGCATCCATCTGAGGAGTGAACCAGCAGATGGAAGATTCTCTCTCTCTCTCTATCTCTATCTCTCCCTCTCTCTCTGTGTGTTACTCTGCCTTTCAAATAAAAATATTTTTAAAAGCAGTCAGAGAGAGAGAGAAACACACAGACACAGAGAGAGCTCCCAACAGCTGATTTATTCTCCAAGTATCCAAACAACCTGGGCTGGGCCTGGGGCAGAAGCTAGGAGCCAGGTACTCAATCCCAGTCTCTCACTTGAGTCATCACCAACTGCCTCCCAGGGCGCCCATCAGGAGGCAGCTGGAATCAGGAGCAGAGGCAGGATGTGAACCAGACACTCAACTGTGAGAAGCGATCACCTTAACTGGTGTCTTTTTTTGTTTGTTTGTTTGTTTGTTTTGACAGGCAGAGTGGACAGTGAGAGAGAAAGACAGAGAGAAAGGTCTTCCTTTGCCTTTGGTTCACCCTCCAATGGCTGCCGCGGCCGGCGCACTGTGGCCGGTGCACTGCGGCCAGTGCACCGCACTGATCCGAAGGCAGGAGCCAGGTACTTCTCCTGGTCTCCCATGGGGTGCAGGGCCCAAGCACTTGAGCCATCCTCCACTGCACTCCCGGGCCACAGCAGAGAGCTGGCCTGGAAGAGGGGCAGCCGGGACAGAATCCGGCACCCCGACTGGGACTAGAACCCGGTGTGCCGGCACCTCAAGGCGGAGGATTAGCCTATTGAGCCGCGGCGCTGGCCTAAATGGTGTCTTAACTGCTAGGCCAAATGCCCACCTCTGTGGCATAATTCCTTCAGATGAAATTTATCATCTTAGTTAACCCATTGCGATCACTAAAGCAGACATCTCCCACATGCTAGTAACACTATATTTAAAATAAACCATCAGACCATTATAGTTGTAAATGGACTCATCATAGCTACTTCTGAAGCAGTGTAAAAATAAGAACTTCTTTTTTAAAGTGTATTTATTTTTATTTATTTGGCAGGTAGAGCAACAGAGAGAAAGAGGAGGGGGGGGGAGAGAAATCTTCCATCTATCATTCAGTTCCCAAATGCCTAACTCCCAAAAACAGGCAGATAGACAGCGAGACAGAGAGAGCTCCCATGAACCATCTACACAGCATTAAGACAACACTGAGATGTTATCTCCAGGAGTTTTCACAAACCATAAATCTTTAGCACAGTCAGTAAATTAAACAGGTGCATGTAAAGGAGGCCAGGGCTCTAGGGAGATAAAGCTAATTAGCAGACCTGTTCTCTTTACACACACATAAATGAGTTGGTTGATTGTTTTGTGTTCTTGACATCTAGCATCAATATTGCAAGTATCCAATGACCTCAAAAACCATGGGATTTTGCTCCTCTTATATTTCACAGAGTCAAATCAGTTGGTACAAAGAAAACAGGCCCAATGAAAAGCACGTTACATTGTGGTATTAATAGAAGTATTTATTAATTTCATTTTCCGTCCTGCTGTGACATATCACCTACAAACCTGTCAGCTGGAGCCAAAGTGATGGTGAGATGGATTGTGTTAAATAACCTCATGTTTCATAAGAAGCATAATTTTAGTTTAAACAGTGAGTTAGAGGTTTCCAAGGTCACTGTAAATAATGACCTTGTAAATTA